AGAATGTGTTGACAGAGAGGTGGAAAGGACAAGCCAACGGTTGGGCTGCTACATGTACAACGCGACAAGGACATTCCACCCGTCGCAGTATCCACACTCAGCATCGCAGGCACTTCCTGAGTTTGATGTGAGTGGAGTGCTTTTGAACGAGCCACTGTTTGTGATATCGCCGAAGAAAGTCTACATCCACAAAATCTATGTTGCGTACAAGGAACGGAAAGGTGGGGTGGTGAGTGTGATGGTTTCTTTCACTGGGGAGTTGTTAGAGAGCGGAGTTGATGGGACGTTGGAGGAGATGATAGATCGGTGGTTGTGTTTCATTCAACAGACAACACAAAAGGAGTGGGAGGTGACGTTCTGCAAGGTTGGAGAGATTGGGAGCAGCGAGTTGGGGAAGATGAATGGGTATCTCGACGACATTCGGAAAAACTTCAAAGGTGTTGTGAAAAGTGTGTTTCTGAGTGACATCGAAGTCTATCCATCGATGGTTATGTCCGAAGAGGAGTACGAGCTGCTTGACGGGAAGAAGTCCTTCTACAAAGTCGACGACCAGCGAACAGCAACCCGTGAGATGAAAGGAGAAAACCGTGCAACATATTACAGTCTGCTCCCAGGCTGTGGCGATGTTGGTTGCAAGGTCGGCGGATACACAGTCAACCTGTACGACCCAGACAACACAGAACTCCACAGGATGATGCAGCAATACCACGACCTGTCCTTCCTCAACAGCGACCCAGTCGATGGTCGGCGATGGTCAATACTACCCCGCCACGTCCACATTCTCCAAAAGATCGACCTGAGAATGGACATCGTCGATTTGTGTGATTGATTTTACTTTGTTTTGTTTGTTTTGCTCTCAATTGTGAATAATAATGGTCCATCTAAAAACGATCTGACCTCAAACTCAAAGACCCATTAAAAAAAGACTAAAATGAAAAAATGAAAAACGGTCACTGTGGGGGTTGAACCCACGGCCTTCTCCTCCGGAGGGAGATGCGCTTCCACTGCGCTAAGTGACCAATCTGAAATGAAAGTCACGTTTTAATTGTCATTTTGACTAATCAAGTATGTTAATTAATCATTCATTCAAAAATATACAAAAAAACTTTAACAAATCTATATAGTAATTCCAAATAAATCCAACAAATTATTAACATAAATAGCTATTTTATAATATTTTACATTACTTCTTTCTTTGTCTTTCTTACAGCTTTTGTCTTTTTAAAGCAACCAAGTGTGTATTCACTATTTTTATATGTTTCCTGGTATGGGACATCATACAACTCACTCAATTCACAACACTTTTTGAATACTTTTGATACATTAAAAAACCCATTCCTTGAGACTTCATAAAACGCGAATGCTCCAATCCTCTTTGCAAGCATCATTCCCTCTTTGGTGCTTACAAAATCGCATAATCTACTCTCATATTCAATAACAAAATCAGAGATTTTTAAATCAGTTTTTGTTGCAACTAAAATGAAAGGGATGCTCTCTACAAACCAATGCACTTCACCAACCCACTTTTCTTCAATTCTTTCAAACGAGTTTCTTGAATCAACAGCATAACACAACACAAACACTTGCACATCTGTCGTGTCCAGTCTTCTCACAAAATCGAAAATGTCTCCACAATGTGGTTCAAAGACGTTCAACATGTATTCTTTATTTTCAAAAATCTCTTTCACTTTTAAAAATCTTTGTGTGATACTAAACAGTTGTGGCGTTTGCATTGTGTTATAATAAAAGTTCAAAAGAGATGTCTTCCCAACCTTTTCATCTCCAAGCAACATCACTTTTATTTCATTCTTACAATAGTCAATACTCTGTGCCATTGGCCATTTACAGTTTTTATAGTTCTTTGATGATTAATGTATAATTTATTATAGTTTATTTCAACAAGTATCAAACATAGAATTATATTCTATTAATTAATGAGAAATGTTAAAATTAAACATAAACAATTTAATAACAATATAAATGGTTTTTATTTTAATAAACTAAGATAATAAAAAAATAATATTTTTATTATCGTTAGTAATAAAAATTATATTAAATATATTAATAAATATATTAATAAATATATTAATAAATATATTAATAAATATATTAATAAATATATTAATAAATATATTAATAAATATATTAATAAATATATTAATAAATATATTAATAAATATATTAATAAATATATTAATAAATATATTAATAAATATATTAATAAATATATTAAGAAAAAATATTCATAAATATCATTAATTTAAAACCTCAAAAAGAACTATTAAAGCTTTTGAAAGTGATGACAGATCAAAGCGTTATTCGCTACGAAAGAGTTCACAGTGGAGATGTTGATTTCGCAATGGAGATAGCTTCTTCGAATAATCTAACTATCTATGAGTTTTTGTTGCTACTTTTTGACGATGTAAAATGCCTCAGACTTTCTGAGGGCGAAACAATATTTTTTGAAGTACTTTTGCACAACACGAATAAAGATGTTGTAAAGCAATTTCTGGATTTTTCATCATTGGAATGCACTTTACTCAACTCAGTTCAATTTTTTCATGATGCCAATATGTTTCAAACTGCTCAATTTTGTTGTCGATTGTCCGTCCAACTTTTGTCCGTTTATGTGACGCCTGATGCAATACAACTCTTTGCGAATTTGTCGAAAACATTGTTTCATCTATTATTTGTGTTTGATGAGCATTTTTTAGCGACGAGGCTTCGAGGAAGTGTTTAGTCGATGTGTTTATGTTATTACCAACACCCGAGTGGATCCCATTGATGATCGAAAACATTAAAGTGACAACTGAAGCTCTTCAATTTGAAGAAACGAATATGGGTGTACCATATATTGGTTTAAAAAATCTTGGGAATACGTGTTACATCAACTCTGGATTACAGTTACTATTCATGTGCGAGAATTTTCGAAACGAAGTGTTTCATACTCAACCAACCTCCCTTCAAACTATTTTTCTTCATTTACAAACACAACAGTGTTATCTGCAAATGAACAAAGAGGTCATCGAACAAGTGTGTGGACATCCAGTGATAATAGGAGAGCAAAATGATGCTTCCTTGTTCATCGCCGACATTTTAGACACTTATCGAACACTTACAAAGTCACCATTTTTCTGTACAAAGATCGAGAAAACAATGCAGTGCTCTCACTGTGGATCGACTCGGCAGAGGGTGGACGATAACTTTATGATAACAATTGGGAGTGAAGGGGCTGTCAAAGAGAGTTTGGACCATCTTGCACCGGACGAGCAAATGGAGTTGGACTGTGATATTTGTCATTGCAAAGTAATTCATTCAATCAGAAGTAAAACTAAAGCGTCTGATACATTACTTATTGGGTTAAACAGAGTTTCGAATCAATTGGTGAAGTCTGACAGATACATCGAGGTACCTTCAACAGTTTATGACTATCAAATTACAGGAATGGTAATACACAGAGGAACTTATGTCAGTGGGCATTACACTACCTTGGCTCGAGGGTATAACGACGAATGGTTTTGGTTCAATGATAGTTATGTGAAGAAGGTGAATTTCGATTTTGCACTTCAACTTGCTAATGGTGGTAATCCAAATGACTGGAATGCGTTTGTCTTGCTCTATGAAAAACACCCAACATACTCTGAACCAATTGATAGAGTACCTTCAACAGACCAAATGATTTCAAAGGTCGTCGTACATTCTGTTGAGTTCTATAACATCATGAAGAGTCTAATTCCGTATTTGAGCGATGCAGACAGCCAAACCAAAAAGATGTTTTTAAACAGTTTTGGAGAGGTCATTAAATTGTCACCCGACAGAGATTTGCTGCTCCAAGCACTCAAAGAAAAGAAAACAATTGAATCGCCAACTTTTGAAGGTGAGGTGATGACACTTGAGAAGACGAATAGATACATCAAGATAGGTAAAGTTGAAGAGAGAAATGAACTCTTCATACTTTTGGCACAAAGTTCCAACAAAACTGTTTATATCAGTAAATTGGTTGATTATCTGCTGACTGAATTTGTCGACAAAATGCCGTCATTCCTTAAGTCGATGTTTTCAAGAGCAAATGAAATACTCGAGAAAGTCGTGGGAAATGGCCCAATAGATGGATTGCCTTTGGACAAAATCGATGAGTTTGTGTTACAACAACGTGATAAGTGTGTGAGTTACTGCGCTACTGAATTTTATAATTTGGTTGGGTTGATGTTACTTGTATTTGACAACACCAAGGACTCGACTGTTGTAATTGAAAGAATGCGGCCTTCCAGTTTACAACTTCCTAAAAGTGGAATTCAGTGGGCCGAGTTATTCAAAGTACACAAATTGGTGTTGACCAGATATTATCCACACGCCATTATTGATATCCAATACAAATACCTCCAAAGTTTACTCACCGTTTGTACTTATATTTTCAATTGTATTAGAGTAATGGACAGTTGTACGTGGGAAACAAAGAGTCGGCTGCTTTTGTCATTAAGATCTTTCAAGTGTTGCGCATTTATCCGCTTTGCCAAGGAGTGGTGGATGGTTTAAAGAATCAAATGATGCTTCTTGAAAAAACAGAGAAAGTCCATAGAGAGCTTGCAGATGAGTTCCGTGTTTTTATTACGACTCAAGAGTCTTATCTACTCTAATAGAGTTCATTGAACACTTTACACTGGTACCAATACTAGTAGTATAGTATTTGTATTAAGTATTTTACTATTTGAGCAAAATATAATAAAATGTAGTAAACTGAATTATTGATATAGAAAATGTTATAGACGATAACGATAAAATGTTACAAGATAACATGAGAGTTTCCGTTTCACAAAATTTTGATCTGCGCAGACGAGCACCAAACAGTTCTTGTTATTATTGAGCATTACATTTAAATAAGTAAGACTGTTTTTGTTGATAAAGAAATGTCACAAAAATTATGATTTTTAGATAAACAGTTTAGTTTACTTTTATGAAAAACGAATAAAAACGAAAAGTACTGTTTGGAGTGAAAAACCCATTGAAATGGAAAGAGAAAACACAAGAACTGAAGTCAAAGAAAATTGTTTAAAACCGAAGAATTAGTGTAAACATTTTCAAATAATTTTAAAGGTAATATTATATCATACTATCTTAGATAAAAAATCTGGCAATGAGATGAAAATTCTGTCAAAGGAAATACGAAACACAAAACAGAAAAAAAGCCAAAAGCCGAAGTCCATTTCGTTGAAAAGCGAAGATCTGAAAATTTCAACATGGCAACACACAACAGTGCACTCCCACCACATCCATTTGCAAAAGCATTTCCGGAGAAATACGCAATTGAATTAAGAAATGCGGACATCCGCAACGAACAGTATGAAAGAGAACAAATGATGTACCAAAGAATGAAAGAAGAAAGGTATCTACTAGAAAGTCGAATGGCATATCTCGACATCTTCCCTAAGTGTCGAGGATATCAACTGCCGTCCCTATTTAATTACCAGCCTACGATGGATCGAGCGTACGAAACAACAAAAACTCTTCCATCATTTGGTGACTATTTTGGGAATGATCCCGTTTGTGCAAAACCACCAAGTTTGTTCTGTGTTGAATGTTGTGATAGTAAGGGGTGTTTTTGTGTTCATTTAAACAAGAACAACAAAGCGCTCTTTGCTGATTTTTCGCTGTTTTATTTTTGTGGTTTGAGGGTTGACAAACCGCCACATTTTTTCTGTCACTTGTGATTGTGTTGTATTCTATAAAATATATTTTATAGTATATTTAGTATATAAAATAGTATAAATAAAAGTGCTGACGTATAGCAGCAAGCGAAGGGAAGAAAGATGTGGGAAGCTCTATGACACAAATCGATATGAATCAAGACGAGGACACGGCAACAGAGATTGCAAGCGAAACAGTCACTGAACAACTTCCAGTCCAAGAAAGTATAGTGAACACTCCGCAGAATGCAAATAAGACTCTCTCACAAGAAAAAGAAGAGAAAGAACAAGCGACTGGGAAGAGAAAGAAGAGAGCAAAAGGTCGTAAAGATACAAAGAGGAAAAATGAGTCGAAAGACAAAGCCGAGAAACCAAAGAGAAAGAAAGAACAAAAAGAGGCCACAAAAGCGGTGGTGGGTGTGGAAGAGGGTATTTCCCAATTTTCAAAAGATGACATGACCTTGGCTGAATTGAAGACGCCAGTGGAGAGTGAGAAAAGTGGAGCAATAGAGAAAGACGTGAAACCACATAACGAAAAAGGACTCGACAACACAAGTGGAAAAGTTGGGCAGAGGAAAAGAAAAAGCGCGAGGAAAGATACGCTTTGATTTTGTTTGTATTGAATTTTTGTGAAATTAGCATTTTGACGTCTTCACTTTTTCGAATTTTTCATGCAGTTTTCAATAATCTTTGTGTATCAATTCGATACTTTTCTGTCAACTTTTATTAATTATTTTTATTACAAATTGTGACGAAAATATCAAACACATATCATCTGTTACATTGGGAAATTTCCCTATTTATCACTTCTGATTATTTTTTCGGCAAAGTTTTAAAAAGTGGTAGGGTTGCCATTTCTAAGACACTTTCGTTTTTGTTGTTATTTTTGATGAATGAGAAAGTCCGTTACAAAAGGTGATCAAAACAACTCCACACGTCAAATATATTTTTATCAAGTAATTCTATAGTTAATTGGTACTATATATATAATTTACAATAATTAGAAAAACCACAGAAGCAAAATAAAAAAAAATTGGTTGTGTTTTGAAAAAAAAAGATCTTTTAAAAAGCTCAACATAAAATTCAATGTTTGAGTTTTACCTTTTCATTTTTAGTTTGAATAACCAGATCCAATATGAGTTTTTCATTTTTATTGAAAAAAAATAACACAAAATTTTTTTGATTTTCAGTTGAAATGCTTTTCTGAATAAAAAAAAGAACTGAGAAATAAATTGATGCAATTAGATCCCGTCACTATAACACACATTTGCACGGAGAAGTATGCATCAGACGTATTTTCCGCCTCGAATTACATCTCTTCATACCTTCAACTTGACAAAGACGTCGTCATGTTTTCTTCTAAAAAAGGATTTATATTTTACAATATAACGACACGATCGATTGACAAGTATTATCCAGATGCGCCGTATTTGAGTAAGATGCAATACTTCAATGACAACTTTTTACTTGTTGCAATGAAAAATTATCGCATCGTATTTTACCTCTTCCAACCAAGTCTTCCCACCCTTCAACAAGTCTTAATCCCACTCACCCGACTCACATCAAACACACAACAATTTCAAACCATTGCAATTTCGCGCCTCAAAAATTCAGTGATCATTTCGGGTGTCGATAAAGAAACTAAAAAGGATGTCTACGTCTTCCAATTTTCATTTGACGGGACGTTACTTCAAAAAGTCGACTTGATGCATTCGAAGGATAATATTGTTGATATTTCATTTGTGAACACTTCGCTCTGTGTTGTGACCGCAAAGGAATTGAAGATAGTTCCGTGTCTCCATAAAGGAAGAGTGCTCTCAAAACCATTCAAAAATGAAATCCAAGCCAGTCTCCCAACGTTCACACGACTTTCCCCTGCACAACTTCTCATCAACGTCAATGAAGAACTGTATTCACTTACAGACGCCAGCATTTCTATGATCGAAACTAATGCTCCAGTTAATGCAGTCGTACTCATTACACCGGTCGTGTTACTCTTCCACGAATTGAACCCACACAGATACTTCATGTCCTACTTCATTGAGACTCAAAGCCCAAGTCAGTTGGTTAGAAGGCCCGAGTTCACGACAATCTCTGCTGTATTTTCCCCAGTGATCTTTTGTCATCCATCAAACCGACTTTGTATCATCGAATTGAAGAGCGATTGGTATAAAAGATGCTTTTTGGATGGAAGGCTTGAAGAGGGTCTTTCATTGAGTAAACGTGCTGATGAAGATGGTAAGAAGTGGGACTCTGCTGGATGTATTTTGCGGATCTATGAATTGCTCTGTCAGTGTTATCAACACTTTCGAATTGAAAAGATCCTTCTCACCCATCAGATGGATGAAATCCTCAAACTCCTTCAACGCACTAAAAAGGAAATCATGTTCAGCTGTGTGACTCAATACATCATGAAAGACTTCTGTCCCGTCCTGTACATCCCTCTGAGTTCACTCTTTCAACTTGGGACGTCGGATATATCCGTCCAAGTGTTGACTGATTTTCCAGAAGAGTTATTGCCAAGACTCAACGAAACAATGAGAATGTTTTTGGAGCTCCGGGCAGCGATGATGAAGAAGAAATTGATACCAACAATGGCACTCAATTCGAGTCACGAATTTCTAAGTGACTTGGAAATCTTCTTTGACGGAGAGAACCGCGAAGAGTGCACTGCTTGTGTGTTGATCCAACTCCACATGTACCAGAATGTGATCACCCCACAAATACAGAATTACGTCAAAAGGCACAAAAATGTCGACAACTCCATTGTCGAAGTTGCACTGAAACAGAACGAAAGTTCGTTGCTTGGATATTTAACACTCATGGATGACGTTCCTCGAATTATGGCTTTGAAATTGAAAGACCCATTACTGAGACTGGACGCACTCGTTTCGATTGCAAGAAATAGAAAGTGGGCTGGAAATGCAAATGATCCGCTTGCGATTGCGTTCCAAGAGATCGTAGTCACTGCTTTTAAACGATTGGAATATTCCCCAATCAATGACGGGAGTCGCGAGTTACAAATTATCATTTATAAAATTTTTGGAGGGAGCGACTCATATCTCCAAGTCGAAACTGCACTCAAATTGCTTGAGGCGTGGGAAGTCACCAAAAATCCGGTTGTTAACAGTGAGGCGTCACAACGAATGAAAATTTTGTATTTGACGTGTTTGCTCGATCAATACAAGAACTCCGATGCGCCGTCTGTATTAGTGAATTGGGCGTTGTTGATGTACATCTACTACATCCATACAATGGCTGCGATCAAAGTCAGAGTTCCTTTAAGTCTCTTGAAAAAGGGGATTTACTTAGTACAGAGTTACCCAAAGATCTCGGCAAATGTAGTTGGTGGTCTTACCAAAGTGTCATGGGAATGTTACCCAATTAGTTGTCCAATTGCCATTTGTGCGGGTGCTGAAAAAGGAGTGGAGTACTTTGTGAGTGTTCTAAGGAAGTTTTACACAAGCGAGCAGGGCAGAGAGGAGGTCTTTGGAGAGAGTGGTCTTCTGTTAAGAGTGGAGGACGACTTGATGAACTTCATAGCAAGCATGAACGACAAATTTGGGAATTACAGTAAGAACACGACACGGGCACATTTGTTGTGCCAGCTTGAATTTTACAATGAAAAGATCAAAACGCAATACCAGCCGTTTTTGACAACATCAGTTAGTGGAGTTGAGTTGGAATTTGTACTTTTCTTGTTGGCGCAAGACAACGCAGAGTTGATACAAAATGCGATTCTATTAATGTTGGATTCTTATAAAGTCATTCCACTTGAGTTTGTACAAACCGTGTTACAAATGATACTCCCCAAGCACATTCCAGTCAATGCGTTTCGAAAATTTTTGAAGAGAAATTGTTCATTCAACACGGTGTACTACAAAGAATTCATAGAATATTGTATCGACTATATCAAACAACTTGATAACCACATTGATGTGCTTGTGGACTATTTACTTGAATACACCGGCCTTCCTGGAAAAGATAATATTAATGCAATGGAGAACTTGGTGTCAATCATGACAGACTCTCCATATCTGAAAAAGAAGTTGAAACAAATGGAGAATGTGAATTGGCGCATTAGGGCAAGACTGATGTTTTCGAGTAAGTACAAATCACTTCTGGAGTATCTCAAAGTGTTTGTTGAAGAGTACAAACAGAACAAAAATTACTTTGATCTTTTTGAGAGCGAGTTGGCAGAGTTTAAGACTGAAAAATGCGAAGAACTTGTCAGTACTATACGAGCAAATTTCAAGCCGTTTTGTGATGAAAAGAAGTGTGTCTTAGTCGAGGCGATATATTACTGTCTCTTCAACGCACCCGATGGAATCACTTCGCCACTGCTCGCAGTCTTAATGAAAGAGCTTGTTAACATGGAGGCCCCAGTACGGTACAACATAGTCATCTTCTCGACGTTCCACAAGTACATTCCTCCATTCATATCATCTGAGCACGACTCGTGGCTTGGCATTAAATCACAAAAAGTTGCCAACCGAGTCCACTTCAGAGTATATAACTACTTAATTGACTCGGTCCAACCATCGATCCTCATTCCGCTCTTGCGGAAAAGTGTGCAAAGTGCTGCGCTCGAACTTTTCACACTCAAGTTTAAAGAAATGGGACTGAAAAATTCGGAGCCGGAGTTGTCGAAAAGGAAGCAAGTGCAAAGGTACGAGACAAAATGTTCATTGTGTGGGCTAAGGATTTTACCAAAACAAAAGTTTGTTGTTAAAAGTGGTGCATATTTTCATGTGACATGTCAGTAAATTGAATAGATTTTTTGTAAAGTTTTTTCATTCAATAATTTCTTTTCAATCCAAAAAGACTTGGGGGCAGACCTTTCCCACCCTCACCCCGTCTAAATATAGAATTAATTTACTATATTTTATAATTTTATAATTATAATTATAGTAAATGGGCGTTTTGGATAATATTAGGTCTGGTTCCCGAATTCAAGAAATGCCGAAAATTCACCTTGAGTTAGTGGAAACCGAGTGAGACGGAGCATTGAAAAGAAGGCTCTGAAGGCCGCACTCAAACAGTCTGTTTGTGCACCGTTTCACCCACTTTCCAAGTCCTCCCTTGGCGCGGATCCCCCCTGACCCCCCCCCGCTTGCGGGGGGGGGGAACCACATCCGCGTCCACACAGTACGGACAAGGAAAGTGGG